TCATAAACCTATGGGTATGGATTTGGGTATACCCATGACCCTTGGAATCCTACATATAAATATATGCTTCATTACCTAAAAACGCTTACTACTAGTTCTTGGAGATCATGGAGGTGTTTTAGTGCATGAAAATTCTCTCTCAAGAGTCACCTTTTTCCTAGGTGTGTTGTGAGCCATTTGAGGCATTCATACTTTTGGTGCTAAGATTTTAAGGCCAAATACAACAAGGTTTCAAGCTACAAAAAAAGGTATGTCATCCTAACTAGTATTTCATATTGTTTATGTCATTTTCATGCTAGTTATAGGCTTAATGCTTTGGAAACACTATTACATGTATAATTAGAGAAAACATAGATCCAAGGCATTTAGGGTTCAATTTTCACCATATGATGTTGTAGTGTACAAAACCAAACAGTGGTATCAGAGTCATGGGTTGTTTTCTATTATATTTGATGTTATTATTGATTTTCAAAGCAAAAAAAAAAAATCGTATTTTCTGCATTCTGACAGCCGAACTCGCTGAGTCCACTAGGTGACTCGACGAGTTGCTTGAAGATACTCTTGGACTCGTCGAGTGCATTAAGGAACATGACGACTTGGCAGTCCTGAGTGCAGATTTTCGAGTTTTTTTTTGGCTTGTTTTGGATTAGGATCATTACCACAAAATGTTTTTGTTCATAAAATTTGATTTTGATGCTATGGTAATGATTATCCTCATCCAAATTAAGGTAATTGTCAAAGTTTCAAGATTTTTATTAGTTTATATGATTAGCTGATTTCTTGAAAATTGTTGATGTGAATTATCTTTACTTATGAGTTTGATCTAGATGATAGAAAAATCATTTGATTATTGTGTTAATTGGAATAATTGATCTTAATGGTTTTTATGAACTTCATAACTTGTCCTCAAGTTATGCAAAATGAAGAGTTTTTCCTTTAAAAGTTCATTAAGATTCATAGGTTATGAAAAAATGAAAGGTCTTATTTTAAATGTCATCGTAAAATAGTTTTATGTCTTCTATAACTTGTCCTCAAGTTATGGAACTTGAAAAGTCTTCCATAAAAACCATATTAAACTCATAAGTTATGGAAACCAAAAGTTTTTGAATTGTTCAAAACTTGCCCTCAAGTTTTGGAATTTGTAAAGTTAACCCCCCATGTATACTTTAATTCCAACCCTTAGAATTTTAAAAGTTCAAATTCAACCATTATCCTATTATAATATTAAAAGTTAATATATATATATATATATATATATATATATATATATATATATATATATATATATATATATATATATATATATATATAAGAGTAAGTCAGTCTTACCGTTAGTAGGCCTCATTCACGAGCCGATCTATAATGGGGTATAAAGTTATTGCCTATAAAATGACAGTTTAATGGGTGTCCACTCTCACCCGCCGCTTCCCTGACTGGTGGAGGGTCGTTAGCCGAACGGGTAGGACAAGACATTAATTCTCCCTTCATTAAAATTATAACGATAAATATAAAGTAACTAAACTTTATTAAATTCTCAATCTTAATTACTTTAGGAAAATGTGAATTTGGTGCTAACCCATGAAATTGCACTTTGCACCTTGTTAAGTCGTTAGTGGAGCGTGTGTGGTTAACTGACACACTAATCTGGGACTGACAATACGTGGCAAAGGGTAGGTTGATGTTAATCATAGATCAATGGAGCGTGTGTGGTTAACCAGCATATTGATTAGGTGGTTGTAACATTAAGTGTACCAAGCTAATGTGCATGGTTATTCACTCATTATTTGTGATCCTCGGCATCCCTGTCACAAACTTGAAGGGGATAATCGAGATTTAAACATGTCATTGAATAGTTCAATGAATCTCAAAGGATCTAGGAATTTCAATCCATTTAAGACCTAAAATTCTTTTTCGTTTTTACATGGTGGAATTTGGTAAATCGTCATTTACCTAACTTCAAATATTTTGTAAATTGGATTAAGGCATCCCTCTTCCAATTTGTTAAATATTGTGTTGGGTCATAGACTTAATATTTCGAATTGGGTGTTATATTAAGGACTTCAATCAAATAAACTTGAATTTCTCCCTCATAGATGTCTAGTTATGACAACTATGGTCTTCCTTATCCTTTTGGATAAAGCTTTCCTAATGAAGATGATATCCCACATCGAGATCAAGGTGAAAGATTGATCCCTTTGTCGTGTATTAATGGTAATCGAAATCATACTTCCCTTCCTCTACCTCCTCCAATTATTCTCCCTAACCCACAAGTTCAAAGACTTGGAAAAGTTCGAGGTCACTCAAGCCCTTTTGGCAATCAAACACCAAGATGGATAGTGTGTGTTCACTCACTTCTTGGAGATGAAGTCACATATTGACAGGCTGGGAGAGTTGGGTGTCGAAGTCTTAAGGAAGTTGACTGTTGATTGGGTTCTTCAATCACTTTTCGAGTTATATTGTGAGTTCATTAAAGACTACTATGTGACAGACCACGATGTGACCCTTAATGATCTTACCTATTTGGTTGTTGTTGTTGAATCAGCAATGATTTGGAGCACTGGTAAAGCAATTTTGATTGGAAGATCTACTTCCTAAACTTACATGGACATTGACAATGTAAACATTAGAAGTCCATAAAAGTCTTCTCTTCCCAATGGAAAGGGGTAGGCCATAGTCAACTCGGTTGACCAGATGGTGAAGAGAAATGCTAAGTCTGAGATAGTCCCGTGTACCATTACTAAAGAGTCCATATGTTTCTATTGCCAAAAGAAGGGGCATTGGTTGCGAAGCTGCACTATTTACCTGAAAGTTCACTAGGATGGTAAAAGTCAAAAAATTTGACTGTGCTTCAGGTAAAGTCCACTATCTAACTCTATTAAGTTCCTATTTGGAGATTTTTATTACATGATGTGACTAGGTCGCATTTTGATGTTTTTTAGAATCGAAGAAAAGAAAGGAAGCTTAAAGGAAAAATAAGCTAATTCTGATCGTGAAGAGATGGATTTCGATCGCATGATCTGAAGATCAGAATTTTGAGCTGCTGCTAAGAGTAATGATAGATTGCTTAGGAATGGATAACAACATAGTTTTCATATGTATTTGCATTGTGAGGATATGATTTTCTGCAATTTTAAAATAAAAAGAAAATTTTTGATTTTATTTATTTTAAGTATCCTTATAATGAGATTTGTGAAAATTGTTGTTTATATGATTTTATTGATAGCAATATTGGAAAATGGATTTGATTCTTTTGTTTGTGGTAGTGTCAAGAATTTGCCAAATAAGGAAAGATTTTCATCACCCAAGTTTCAGTTGGATAGAAACTTGGAATCATGCAACTTGTAGTGTGTGATGAATGAGATTTTTCATCTTTAGGAAATGAAGACTAATTCATTGTTCACATGTATATGTGAGTCAAGTGAAGGACTAGGGGATCAGGTACACTTGGTTATGTACTGGTCAAGTCCACCACAAAGATCGATAAGACTATTCATCATGATTTACTAAAGTTTAGTAAATATAGTTATGCTTACAAGTTTAAGTGTAATTTTGAAACATTGGAAAAGTTTCAATGTATGGCAGGACGAATGAGAAAAAAACAAATTAGGTAGAAAGATAAAAGTTTCTTCAATCTGAAAAGATGGGACAATACATCAGTATCATGTTTTATGATTATCTTAAAGATTATGGAAACCATATCACAATTGATCCTCTAAGGACATCTTGGTGCATTTACTTGGCTGAGAAGAGGAATTGTAAATTGTTGAAAGGGTTAAATCAAGAAGATGAGTGATACTTCGTTCCAAAACAAGTCTTACAGTCATACTCCAAGATTGTAACTCGAGTGACATAATTTTAAGAAAGGTTTATAACACTTGTCAAATGTAGAGTAAAATGTTCTCTTACTCTTGTACATTTGAAACTGGTAAGTTGTGATGTTTAGGATAAAACAAAGACCAACTAAAATATGAAAAATATTACAAAATAGTAATCATATTTGATAATTTTTGTCATCTAATTACTTCAAAATTTAATGGAAAATTCAAAGTTTAATGGAAAAATCTTAACCAAAAACATAATACACAAGAAGATATGATATAGAAATGGGTTTATTGGTTATGGTTAGCAAATGATGGGTTTCAAGCATGCCTTCTACAAGTTGAAATTAAATGCCAACTTCACTGCCCATTATGTGTTCGATAAAATGCGAAAGTGAAATTTTCAAATACTATAACTACGGATGTCCAAAAAGTCCCGTGGGACCCCGTTCTCGTAGGGGCCCCGTCCCGTTTGGGGGAATTTTTTTTAAAAAACGGGGGGCGGGGACGGGGACGGGGGGCAAGGTTAACCCCCGTTTTTATTTTTGGAGCGGGGGCGGGGTAGGCAATCCCGCCGCGAAACCCCCATAGAGACCCCGTTAATAAAGTAAACATATATTTACATATATTAATTATGTAAATATAATAAACAATAACATGATTTTGATCTTCTAAAATTCATCAAAAAATATATTGTTAAGTTGTTAGTATAATGTTTTTAAGATGCCATAATTTTTTTATTTTTTAACATGTAAGATTCTGTTATAAATAATTATTTGTTACCTAAAGAATAGCTTCTTTTAACCTAGATAACAACTTCTTTTAGCAACAGAAAAAGGCAGCTCAAAATCAATTGGGGGCGAGGGAACGAGGGCGGGGGTAGGAAGGCTGGACATTTCGGGGGCGGGGATGCGGACGGGGGAACCGGGAAATTTCGGAGGCGGGGGTGGGGAATGCACTCCCCGTCCCATTTGCCCTCGTTGACATCCCTAACTCCAACCATATTTTTAACCCTATTCAACTTGTTTTATTTTACGTCTCGCGGAAAACCATAACTTTTATTGTACGAAGTTCTTTAAGGCTATTTACCCCTCAGATTTGGAATCAAGATTGATTGTGAGCCCATCGTCCTGCTTTCAAGAAAATGTAGCGTTTTTCTTCCCGGTGATTTCTTCATTTGGTGCACGCCAACTTTTATTTTTGGTGTTTCCATCTTAGGGTTTCGGTATCTTCTTTAGGCTAATTAAACTAATAAAGGATGACACCCTTTTCATTTGAAGGAAAGACATACATAATACTTATTTCTCTTTCACATGGTTTTTGTCCTTGCAAACATAATAAATTCAGTCTTAGTCTTCATCGTTTTCCTAGCCTTAACTAGACGGGACCATCTTACACCAAACCGAACAACCCACCTTTGATCACGAAGGCTCATCCTCCACTTCTTTTCTGATAGTGAAAAAAATAAATAAATTCACGTATGATGAACTTTTACCATTTTCACTTTTTAACACTTGGTTTATATTTAATGATCCAAAAGTTAATCACACTTCTTTAAAAAAAATGTTGTTAATACTTAAGACTTTAGTATAATTTAATTAAAGATATAACTTACACCAAAAACAACAAAAACATACCCAAACATTGGAACTTACCATTATATATCTTCCCTACCCTTATATACATAACATAACTACAAAGAAAAATAATGGAGGGAGAGGAACCATTTAATCGACTCACGTAAAATTACAAAATACACCTTGCACACAAAGGTACGTGTTTGTCACAAGAATCATCTTTATTGTATATAGATAGAGAAAATCACAAAAATGAACAAAATGAAAAGAGGATTTTACAAAAATAAATATCAACTTTTTAACTTTTTTCCAACAAAATTACCATATTTTGTAAAATGGATCTTTGAATGATCTATTGCCACATAAAAAAAAATCTTACAAAACCTTTTCTTTCACCAAAAAAAAAATCCTTTTTCTTTAAGATTTTAATGAGATTTTGTAGCGAACCCATTGCGAAATATGTGGTAATTTCGTGTAAAGAGTAAAAAAGGTAGTAATTCAATTCAAAACTTCTAGCCATTTTATTCATTTTTCTTTTCGTGATTTTCTCTTATGAATATGATCTTACAATGATTCTTTCAAGATGAGGAATCACTCTTAGCCTGAGAAACACCACTCGAGGGATTGCTTTGAGCTTGAGAAGTCTGACTCGAAGATGACTCGGTGTAGAAAACAACATCATTACCTTCATTATCAACAAACAATTGTAAAGATCGAGGCATCGGAGGCATATTCACATCCAAAACCCCTTCAAGAATCTGTTCAACTTGACTCATTGCAGGACGACTTTCTTCATCATCTTGTATACACCAACAAGCAACTTTACAAAGTTTCATAACTTCTTCAACATTCGCTTCCCCATTCAATTTAGGATCCAATAATCCAAGAACATCATCATGACCCCCTATAAGAACATTCGCCGCATGCATGGGAAAAAACTTTCTAGAATGTTCCGAATTACGCACCCCACTTATCAACTCAAAAACCATCATTCCATAGCTATAAACATCCGCTTTCATTGTAATGGCAACTCCCGATAACCATTCGGGTGCTAAATACCCTCGTGTCCCCCTCATTGTTGTCAAAACCCTACTAAAATCCCTCCCCACAAGCTTCGCAAGACCAAAATCCGCAACTTTTGGACACAAATCATTGTCTAAAAGAATGTTTTCGGGCTTTATATCACAATGAATGATACAATCGCGACATTTCTCATGAAGATAAACCAACCCTCGAGCTATTCCTAGAGCAATTTGAAACCTTGTTTTCCAATTAAGACACTTTTCGTCTTTAAAAAGATGCGCGTCTAGAGATCCATTTGGCATGTAGTCGTAGACCAATAGTTTATAACTACCTTCCGAACAAAACCCACGAAGACGTACAAGATTCACATGTTGAATTGTCCCGATTGTACTCACTTCGGTTCTAAACTGCTTTTCTCCTTGACTAACACTTTCCAGCTTTTTGACTGCCACGTCACTGTTATCTGCAGACAGCGTACCTTTGAAAACCGAACCGAACCCACCACCTCCAAGTTTTTCCGAGAAATTTTTTGTTGCGGATTGTAAATCGCGATACACAAACGAAATCAACGACCCCTCAACCGATGTTTTCCCGGGATTTTTCATTTTTTTTCTATAAATTAAAAATAAAACAAAACCCAAGATAAAGACAACAAGTACAATAGACCCAACAACCCCACCGATGATAACCGCATTGTTTTTCTTGTTACTAGGAAGATCTTTCGAAGCGACTTTAACATAAATCATCACCTCGTTGCTATTTTCTGTAAGATCCAAGAGTTCTCCATCCCAAATCGAACATGCGTTGTTCTCATAAGAGTAAGCGTTACAAGAACAGCTATTCAAACATGTGTTCTTGCATTCAGTTGAGCTTGAAAGAGGTAAAGAAGTCGAATTCGGTGGCTTTCGAGCGATTGAAGATGAAATTTCGAGAAACCCGTATTTTTCCGATGTTCTTCCGCATTGTACGACTGTTTTTCTCACACACCCACCGGAAAAATCGCTCAGATCCCAATCGGATTGTGATCGGGGATTGAAACCTGTTAAGCAATTGCAAAATGGTAAACCACTTTGTCTACATGATCCAAATGCGCCACAAAAGTCGTAAACTTCACATTGTGTTCTTGGTTGAGACCAAAAGAGATTCCATTGTTTAGTTGTGTCTAGCCATGATAATTGCCTAATTTGACCAGAAACATCCATTACGAATCTTGATATGATTGAAGGGTTATACAAAGAGTAAGTGAAATAACTTTCGTTTATGTTTGAAACGTAGCTGAAATTGTAGATGTAATTCGATCTCATTTCAGGAACTCCGCTAAAGATTCGGCCATTCCATGGTCCACTCGTCCAATATTGTGTTGTTCTGTTCCATTTAATCAAATACTGTTTCTCAATTGGATCAAGCTCTAAGGAAAACAATCCTTCTGCTGGATCTTCCATGCTTTTCCATGAAGTTAAAAGCTGTTTCCTTCCTGTTATGTTATTGTACGAGATTCTAGCACCAGGTAACCAAGTATTAGCTGGAAAATCGAAGCTTTGCCAAATGGGTTCAATTGAGTTCGACCCATTTCGCAATACGAAGTTTCCATCATCGAGAAGAACAGCAATTACAGAATTCGAATTGGAAGAAGAAGAAGAAGAAGAAGAGGAAGACGAATTGAGTCCTGTTGACCAAATTGGGGATTTTGACTCGTTTAACAAAACTAAGTTACCTTCAATGATTTTCAATTCAGATGTGAATCTATCGGAAACAGGTGTTTCTCTGTTTGCTACCCAAGCGATAGTTTTTGTGGAAACTTTTTTGTACCATATACCTATGTAATAGTTTGAAGAATTACCTGCTTTGAAGAACCCCAATTCAAAATTTTCATCTTTCGAGCTGATTGTTTGATCGCCGGAAATAGATTGATTTGCAGTGATTGTGTCGGCTCCAGATGACAGAGAAACGATGAGAGAGAAAGAGAGTAATAGGAGAAACCCCATTAACGAACTGTTTGTGAAGGACATCGATGAAGAATTTGGAGAAGATGAGGAGTCGAGAAATCTGAAAGCATCTAAAGGATTTCTGGGTTTATACAAAAATTGAAGTTTGTAATGTGTTCATATGGAAATTTTCGTACCTTTTTATCAAAATATTAAAAATAATATAAAAGCCTGAAACTAATATAATTCAAGTAAAACAAATTTTTTTTTTTCATATTAAAATAATAGATATATCAAAAAATTAAGTTAAAATTTAATATGCACATTAAAATTGACAACAGTATAGCATTCTTTTTTTTTTTTTTTTTTTTTTTTTTTTAAATATACTCTTTTCCATATTACATAATAGACTAAGTTACAAGAAGGGTCCTTGTGTTTTTCTTTTTGTTTACAATTTTGGGATCTAAAGTTTCAATTTTACAATTTTGTTCCTAATTTGGGTTTTCCATTCAATTTCAGGACCTTTTCAGAAGGTGTATCCAGTAGACCTGGCAATGGGGCGGGTTTGGAGCGAATCGACCTTGATCCAAATCCATTTTAACAAATTCCAAAACTCACTCCATAACCAGCATGGTTTGAATAATTAAACTCATACCCTTATCCACCGAATCAACAGATATCCATACTCGCTCCGTAACCCGTAGGTTTTTTTGAATAATAAAACACATTTTACTTAAATCATAAAATCACATTTGTTAAATAAAACAAGTGTTGATTTAGAAAACACATTATGTACTCGAAGACTTTCGATTGTAATTAAAATCATTATTGTAGTTACTTCCAATTGGTTTTTGACCCTCAATTGATAAATGAATTTATTGATTTGTAAATGAAATTAGTGATTACACGATGAAATATAAATGAAATGACATCATGATTCTTGGAGAAGACTGAAAGTCTAAAAGTTAAATCCCCAAGTCCTATGTATAAATAGTTTAGCCTTTGGTCTTTTCTCTTTGGACGTTCGATTGGAATTTAAAGTAAGATTTAGGTAGTATATATAATATAAATGTATAATTATAAAATCTATATGGGGCGAGTTATAAATGGAGCGGATTAGTGATGATTCATACCCGACCCTTTTAATAAAATGGTTAGCGGCTACGGATCGTTAACGGGTAAACGGATCAAAATTATGCTCCAAACCTATATAATTGTTAAGGGTTTGGATCGGATCAGGATCAAAACCTACTGCATTGTCAGACATAGTATCCAGTAAGTTGTTCATATTGTTGCATATAAAGTTATTTTTATATTTTGTTACTGCAATTCTTAATTTTTAACACGTGTTATATTGGTGTCTAAATCTTCATCTTGCCTAATATCTTTAATTTCATTATATTATTTGGACTTCTAATTGTAGTTGTGGATGAGCGTCATCGTATGACACATAATATTTACAACATGATTTTTATTTATCGACAATATCTTCGTTTTTGTCCAAGCATGATTTGAATTATCCATCTTGTTGGGTAGACTTTACGGTATAAAATGAAGTAGATGGAAAGTTCAAAATCTGATCTTTTGTTTTTATGTTTTAGGTTTTTTTTTATGTGATATGTTATGTATCCTATATTAAAATGGACAGCCATTCTACGCGAAAATGTATATTTTGTTGACTTTACAATCAAAGTATTATTTTTGGTGGATATTTGTATATTTATATACTATGCAAACCACCATTACGTAAACCAAATGAACATTGAAATATAATATATCATTTTCACTTCACATGATTGAGGTTTACTTTCATGTTTATGAAAACTCAGCATAATCGATATAGTTCGTTTGACGATTCATGTATTGCCTATATGTGTACTTTGTAAACGTACCACCATGGTGTTTTCTAACTAAAAATATTGTAATCATACTGAAAACACGAAACAAAAGAAACATCATTTTTCATGTAAAAATAAAGATAAAAATATGGATCATTGTAAACTTGGACATCATGAAATAAATACGTAAAGTAAAAGATATACATAGATGTTTGGGAGCTTATACTTTGTTCAAATGGTTCCAATGGAAGCATCTATGTTTGTAAATATTGATTTCCATAATAGCTTAGGGTTAGAGATTGCTAGAGTTGATGAAAGAGATGAAGAAAGCTAAAATCTTTTATGGAAGATAACATAATAGACAAATATTAATCAATAATACAAAAATAGCTCAAAGTGAATGGTATTGAAGAACAGAAGAAAAAGCTGAAAATAACCTTGTCTACAAAGATACGAATTTTGACGACTTGAAGGGTACACTTTAATACCGTCTTGAAAAAAAAAAACCAAAACTGAAAGGAAAATGCCTGATTAATGCCAAATTTGTAAATTTCAAAATATCAAAGAACAGTTTGATTTAAATTTTCAAAATACAAGGACCATTCTAATAGTTTACTAAAATAATATAAATTTTTAATACATGTGAAATGCCAACCACTCGAAAAGATTAAAATATATAATTGGGTGAGAAGGTTCAAACGTCAAAGTCAGTAAAAGAAAATTTGGTTGACTAGGGGAACGAATTGGTAAAACCATCTAGATTATCATGATTGGTGGGAATACCACTAAAAACAAATTTATTTTCTTCTACAAAAAAATAAATCTTTTTATATATATATATATATATATATATATATATATATATATATATATATATATATATATATATATATATATATATATATATATAATCTCTCTATACTAATAAATGAGTAGTTCTTTTGTCATTTGTCATTATATTAAAGATTTTAATTAATGTGTTACCACTTTTCAATTTATTAGTTCTCTATTTTAAATTTATTAAACATCCTGATTAAGGTGATCTTATTTATCAATGGATATATTTTCTATTTTAAATTGGGAAATCTCTAGAAAAGTCCTAAAATTTTAGTCCAATTTATGAAAAAGTCCAAAATTAATTTTTGTTTACAGAAAAGCACAGAATACCGGCTAAAACTTCGAAAAAACCCTTTTTGGCCGGTTTCGTAGATTTAGCCGGTATTCTGTCCTTTTTCATTAGTTTGCTCAAAATATTAGGACTTTTCTGAAAATTACTCGATAACCAAAATATTTTGACTTTTTTGAAAATTACTATGGAATTAATGGATATTATTATTAACAAATCATTTATAAACATAAAAAATATTTTTTTTATTATAAACAAGGGAAATATATTTGTTGTTAATTTCTAGAAATAGAATGGTCGACTATGTACTTCTCAATTGTTTGTTGACCACTTCAAAGTCTCTATGTTCTTCATATGTATCGTTGTGGGTGTCATAGTGAGAAGTACTCTATTAGGCGTGACCAATACAAGAGTTGATAATATTTATTAATACACAATCAATAAGTTTCTACTTGCTATTAAGCATGATGCTATATGATCATGTGTTATTAGAAAATATCATTACACGAACATATAGATCTTTCATTATGTTCTTTAACCTAACTACCACCTAACCTCCAAACATTACCCGGTAACAACCATAAAATTACACACATGAAAAGTAAACTTTGAATGACAATTTAAATAGATAATCACCCTTCACTTGTTTCCATATAAATTATCATTCAGGGTTCACTTTTCACATTTTATAGATATGTGTTAGCCGATGATTGTTAACATGTAAGGTATGAATGTTGGTTGGTAGTTAGGTTAAACAACATAAGAAGAACACCAACATTAGAGGAATGCTAACTAACTTCATCTCACCATCATACCCACAACAATGCATAGGAAGAACGTAGAGAGTTTGAGTGGTCAAGAAACAATAGAGGAGTACTTAGGCCACCAATATTTTGGTTATTATGTAATTTATAAAAGATTTGTTAATAATAATATCCATTAATTTCATGGTAATTTTCAAAAAAGTCCCAATATTTTGGTTATTATGTAATTTTTGGAAAAGTCCCAAAATTTGAGCAAACTAACGAAAAAGGACAGAATACCGGCAAAATCTGCGAAACCGGCCGAAAAGGGTTTTTTCGAAGTTTTAACCGGTATTCTGTGCTTTTCTGTAAATAAAATTTATTTTGGGACTTTTTCATAAATTGAACTAAAATTTTGGGGTTTTTCTGGAGATTTCCCTTTTAAATTTTATATTATTGTTTTCATTAATGCACAAATAAAAAATACTAATATATATTAAAAATTAATTTTACATATTTATTTGAATCAACGATTATAATTTTACATAATTAATAAAAATATATTTTAAATAATAATTTATTTAAAATAATTAATTAATAATTTTGATTTTTTACTATAAAAGTTTAATTAATTTTATAATCGTGGTTCCCACGGGTTATAAACTACTTATGCTCATATATAAACACCATATATTGTGTGATTGTATAACCAATTTTTGACCAATCGTTTAAATCAACGATTATAATTTCACATAATTAATAAAAATATATTTTAATTAATAATTTATTTAAAATAATTAATTAATAATTTTGAGTTTTAGTATAAAAATTTAATTAATTTTATAACCGTGGTTTCCATGAGTTATAAACTAGTTATGTTCATATATAAACACTATATATTGTGTGCTTGTATAACAAATTTTTGACCAATCGTTTAATAAATGTATGATAGTAATTAGCATATAAATCAATAAATGCATTTTCAGTTATAATCTTATAATTATTGTAACTCATTTTATTTAACTTCACTCCTATAATTTTGATAAGTAGTATAAATTGAATTCTTTAATATACGTATCAAAAAAGTTGGTGACTAAAACTCAGATATAGTGCCGAATCAAATGTTCATTCTTTCAAAATTCATACAAATAATATTTTAGTTTATTGCATATTCTTCAAAATTATGTTACACATCGTAACATATTTTTTACGTGTAAATATAATATTTTCTTATTCTGCAAGAATTTTCAGTTGGTCTATAATTTTTGGTAAATGTGTGTAAAAAGAATATTACATATACTTCAAAAAAATATGCCGTAAAGTATTAATAGATCGTTCTTAAAGAATGAATTTTTTCCACATATCTTACTAGTTTTA